TCTCCCCACTTTGATCCTGCCTATACCTCACTGCTCAAAGCTTGAAAAGGATTCCCAATCCTTACCACCATTCCGTAACCAATCTCGTTGAAAAGCCCAAGCTTACGATAGCTAGGGATCTAACCAATCCAGCTCCAATACGACCCATTCCTGAACTAGCGAGACACTCCAAGTCCCGCATAATCTTGCTATAGCTACTGCAACCTAAATAACCCGCTCTATTGGGGAACAACCTCTTACTATCAATCTAAAACCAAGGTATGCAAATGGCATATAACTCAATCACAAGTAGGTAATATAATACTCACAGATATATGCTTACTAACATCGATGCAGTACCATAACAATAGAGTCACTACAAAAGTAATCAAAGTAAATAAGGTGAATGTAAAGATCAAAACTAAATAGATAATCAACATATATCTCAAAAGGTGTGTGTGACTCTTCGAATGGTAAAAAAAACATCATAAGACTCTTGGTAACTGGAAAGACAAAATGTAATTATGACTCATCTTAAATGGTAAATAATCATAACCACATCATACATACTTATAAAGCTAACATTTTTTCTTGAATCTCATGCATTTGAAACACCCATAAAAATTTGTCAACACCTCATGCATTTGAAACCCCCACACCCTTTCACCTTCAAAGTAATTAATCACACATAATCACATTCCAAGAAAATCACACTCTATAAGTTCAACACCTCATGCATTTCAAACCCCACACCATTTCACCTTCATTATATATATAGTTATATTAGTACATTTTTCTTACAAAAAGTCATCATTTGGTTGAAGATATTATGATTCAATAGTTTTCATATAGTTGAAGCATTCACGATCCAAATATGATGATTTGAAGAAATAGGTTATGTTTCATCGATGGTAATTGTAATATGATTTTTTTCTTTCAACCAAAACAAATGAAGTTTTTCTATTCTTTCTTTATATTCAATTTCTCATTTGACCTTTATATGTGATTTGTATGTATTACTTAGTCTTGAATGTGACTCTCCAAACATTAATGTTTTGCTTGTAATATCTTTCTCATTCTTCTTTTTCAAGAAAAACATTTTGATTGCAGGTTAGTGAAGAATTGTCATCAAGTTTCTATGGTTGAATAGTATTCAATAAAGAAAGGTGATTCAGAAAACGAATATAGGTTTTTTTTAGCAAAGTAGAGGAATGTTAATTTTTTCTTTTGATTTAAATGTATATTTATGTAATATTTTTATTTATATATTCAACCACCCAATGTTTTTATTTATTTGATTGTAGTTTTTCTATTTTGATTATGTTTATTTTCTATTATTTTTTTGTTAGCTATCCTACACAACATATTTACAAGACAATATTTAAAAGATAACATAATTTTTAACATTTGATATGTAATTATGATGGCTTATCATGATATGTTCTTCATATGAAAATAATTTATCCATATTACTACCACAAGAATTACATATGACATTTACGAAAATATATATTATATGTTATTTGTTTAACATATATATGCATCTATGTATGTTATAAATTTATAATTAAATATCTTTATGTTTAATAATTGAAGGGATTAAAATAATGTATCAAAACCAATTATTTACACGAATATAATAATAATAATAATAATAATAATAATAATAATAATAATAATAATAATAAATACACATTTCCAAGGACTGTATTCATTTGAAACTCATACTACAACTCAAGAGCTTTCTAATTTATGCTTATTTATTAGTTACAACTCAAGAGTTTTTAAATTATGATTATTAATTAGTAATCACTAATAACTTTTTATTTTCCTTTCTTTTATAAAGTTGTAAAGTTTTGCTCATTAAAAACATTAATGTATTTAAAGAGATTTGTGATTTAAATATGAAAATTTAATATAAATGTTATAATAAATGTTTTAGTGTTTTTATGTTATTAAAAGTTGTAGTGTTTATTTTTCATATTTTTTATTATTCGTTATATATATATATATATATATATATATATATATATATATATATATATATATTTATATTAATACAAATGTTATAATAGATGTTTTTGTATTTTTATGTTACTAAAAATTGTAGTTCATATTTTTATTCATACATTTTGTTACACATTATATATAGATTATCATATGTTTGATATATAATTTAGATAATTTTAAACGGTTTATAAAATTATCAAATAGTTGTATATATCACAATGACTTAAAAATTAAAACTATAATCATCAAATCAAACTATATTATAAATGAAATATTTTTTCTTTCACCACATTCATTTGAAACTCCTAATTTTTCATATTTCCATACAATATACTTAATTTATTAACTTAAATATGTTTTTAGTTGTAAACATTATCATAAATGGAAGAATTTGTGACTTATTAATATGATTACTTAATTTGTTAACTTCAATATATAGTTAAATAATTAACCTACATTAATATATCGAATAAGTTTAAATATTTAGTGTTAAATTTAAAACCTAAAGTAAAATATCAAATAATGTTTAAAAAAATTCAATATATATATATATATATATATATATATATATATATATATATATATATATATATATATATTTTAACATTATTAAAAGGAAAACATTAAATATAATAATAATAAAAGAACCTAAATTGATTAATCGAATTAAGTAAAAGGTGTCTGAAACTATATTCTAACAATATATTTTTAACCTGTGTCTCTCAACGCGCGGGAATTCGTCTAGTTTATCATAAGACGGCGATAATTTGGCAACTAAAAAGACTCAAGATAACGACAACTACTCTTTAAAAATATAATGTAGATACATTGAGCAAACTCATTTCCATTTTCTGGGGACTAAATTTCGATGAGAAAAGTAATCAAAGTATATAAGGTAAATGTAAAGATCAAATTGACTCAATGTAGTGTGCCTACTCTTTAAAATAATAATAGAAGATAATAATAATGTGGATATATTGACCAAAAATAATCAAAGTATATAAGGTAAATGTAAATATCAAATTGACTCAATGTCATGAGGTATACTCTTTAAAATAATAATGTGGGATAATAATAATGTGGATAAGCTGACCAAATTTATTTCCATTTTTCGGAGCCTAAATTTTAGTGAGAAGAGTAATCAAAATAGATAAGATAATTGTATTTGGTTCTAGAAAGTTATATATAGTAATAATGTGCAGTGTAATTTGGAAAAATGTTTACAACCTATGATATTTACTAAATAAATATTACATAAAATGTTTCAAAAAAAAAAACAAACCACACCAATAACAACAAACACTCAAACAATTTAAATTAATTATTGTCCACTATTTCCTATTTATCATTTCTCATTTTCAACTAGGAAAAATTATCATGAATAAAAACATACGTTTCATCGTTTGAACAATTGAACTTTCCTATCAGGTTACCCTCATGTGTACCATAAAGACATTTCTCTATCATGATCAAATAAATAATGCAAAGTAAAGCAACAAAGAATAGATACCTCAATTAGCAATGTTGTTTAACTCTAACACAAAATAACAAATCAATGAGAAAATTCACAACTCAACAACTATATAGATAAATGATAATAAACAAATCATTTGTTGAACATGTTATCCAAGAAACCGTATTTATACACCAAAAAACGACTGGTCACAATGGCAACCGGAAAATCAAACGTTGTCATAAATGAACAAACATAAGACGTAACCGCAGCCCATGGAAGAATCATTCCCTACCGAATGAAATGTTAGAAAGTAACCCCCTACCATGTGTTATTTTTTACAAATAGCATAAAATTACACATGTCATATGACCTTGAAATGCAGTGTTTTCGACAACTCAACAAAAGTCTTCTTAAGCTATATACGACATAGATAACTACCTGCAACCTTAATATTGTCGTGTAAATATATTATTTTTTACATATTATATACATATCGAGTTTGGGATCGGGAGCCAAGAATATCTCATCCACATCCTCATACATGTCTTTTAATTCAGTGATTCTCCATCTATGTATCCATATCCAATTAATTTGAGGATTTCTATTAAATCGGGTACGGATATCATATTCCCTTAGGTGTAAGAATCATTTTCATTCATAGAAAAGAGAAGAATTGATATTTTGGTTTGAGTTTCTAGATACTTTTAATGGTTCGAAACAAGGATAAAAGTTGTATTCTCAAAAACTTGATAAATATAAAGTGAACATAACATACTTGGGCTCTAATTCGTTTTGTTTGGTCCTCTTAGTTGTTTTATTCATATTTGAGTTCTGTTAATTCAAACTTATTTTTACACACTCCCTATAAATGCAAGATGGATTTTGGACTATATATTTGCATTTTCTATCAGCATATTTTTTGTGCTTATGAAAATGACCTGTTAGATGCAAGAGGACTTACCCAAGAACAATGACCACCCAAATTAAAATAAATCAATGCTAAACTTTTACAATAAAAACTTTCACGTTGATTGAATTTTAAAAATTTACAAAAAGTATTTAACTTCTGAAAGTGGTAATCAAATTCATAAAAATTAATACATGAATTTTAAGAAGGGAGACATCCAAGCGCATCTAGTGTAGTGGTATCATAGTACCCTCCCACGGTACTGACCGGGGTTCGATTCCCCGGATGCGCATTTATTTTTTGTATAAATGTTTTCAAAAGTTTTTATTTATATTTAACGTATTATAAAATGTTCATCTTAATACAAAACCCACTTAATACGATTTTGATTTACACCGGCCTTTTTGATTTGAAACTTAAAATCAAAATAATTAACGCAATGGCAATTCGACAAGTGTTTGTTAGTTCATCAATTAAAAAAACATTTTTTACGTATACATAAACTAAAACAATGCTTTAGTTAGTCATGTTTTGTTACGCTTACAAACTGTAACACATCCGGTGAAATTTCCTTATTTAAAACATGTGTTTCATAATGCGTTAAGCTAATTTAAAAGTTAAAACTTATTTTTGCATGAAAATTGTGTAAACAATTGATTTTGGCATGAAAACTGCGATTTGTGGTTTAAGTGTATTACTATTAGATGGCATAATCTTTAACAATATTGATGAAGGAGAGATTATTTCCCTCTGTGTTCCAATATGAAAATGAAATCAAAATCAAAATCACCCTTCATTTTTCTCTTATTGTTTATCATTTGTGCTTGTGCTCTTGTTCTTGAGGCCTCCAACAATGGTCATAGACCCTTCAAAATGGAAGGAAACGAAGAGCTCCATATCAAAAGATCCGATTTTCCAGATGGGTTTCTCTTTGGAGCAGCTACTTCATCTTACCAAGTCGATCATCCCCTCTTTCTTGCTCATGATCATAGGCTCATATCTTTATCACTTAACTCATGATGAGTAATATTTACAGGTTGAAGGAGCCTATCTTGAGGATGGCAAATCTTTAAGCAACTGGGATGCATTTTGTCATTCCGTAGGTTAATATCATAAATTGATTAAATTCCATGATTTCACATCAAAATGGTTTTAGTAATTTCTACTTTCTAGTCATTAATCCATGGCTATTGTTTAGTAGGATGTGGAGAAAATGGAGATGTTGCAGACGATCATTATCATCTCTTCTTGGTTAAACTTTAGTTTATCTATCTAATTTGGAACTTTTATATGCAAAAACATTCTTTATTTTGATTATTTTTTGTTTATTATTTGTTTTATTAATATCATAGGAAGATATTGATATGATGCATTCCCTTGGTATAAAAGCATACCGATTTTCGATTTCATGGGCTAGAATTCTACCAAGAGGAAAGTCGGGTGAAGTTAATACTGCAGGAATCACGTTCTACAACGAGATCATAGACAATTTAATTCTCAAAGGTGCTATGTTTTAAAAGTTAAATAATGCATGATCAAATGAGTTCATATTAATTAACTCAACATACATGTATCATAAATTCTAATGTTTTGTTCGTTTTACTAAAAAGTTGGTAGATTTACACATTAATTTTTACGTTCATCATACAGGGATCGAGCCATTTGTGACGATGCACCATTTTGATTTTCCTCAAGAACTTGAAGTGAAATATGGATCTTGGCTAAACCCCGAGATGCAGTACTACTAAAACATTAATTTTTATTGTCACATCAATTTTTCTCTACTGCTTTTTAGCATATATTTATACTTTGTACTTTTGTTAGGGAAGAGTTTGTAGTTTTCACAGAAAGTTGTTACAAATATTTTGGAGACCGAGTGAAGTACTGGATCACAATCAACGAACCAAACTTATTCACAAAAGAAGCTTATGAAAGTGGGGTTTTTCCACCGGCTCGTTGTTCAGAGCCCTTTGGCAACTGTCTGACTGGAAACTCTGATGTGGAGCCTCTCATTGTTATGCATAACATGTTGTTGGCTAATGGCAAAGCAACAAAGCTATATCATGATAGTTATCAGGCAATAATTTGAATTTTATCCAAAAAAATTTCGATGCAATGAAAGTATTGAACCCTATGGACTTATTGGACTAATATATAATTATGTGTGCATGCAGCCTAAACATGGTGGATCGATCGGAATTGTTGTAAGTTGTTTAATGTACGAACCACTAACAAATACGGATCTTGATCGTAAGGCTGCCGAGAGAGCATTCGCCTTCGATATTGGCTGGTAATGTTCATGAACGTATGAAAAACAAAAGAAAAATATATATGATCTTAGTTCAACTTCTTACTATCGAATAGGGTACTTGATCCCCTGATATATGGAGACTACCCTGAAGAGATGCACAAATATCTTGGAAGTCGATTACCAAGTTTCTCCCTTGAAGAAAAGAATCTTTTGAAGAATAGTATTGATTTTATTGGCATCAACCATTACTCAACTCTGTATGCCAAAGATTGTATAAACTCTAGTTGCTCTTCAATCGGGGCTCGTGCAATCCAAGGTTTTGTGGACATTACGGAAGAGCGTGATGGCGTGTTGATCGGTGAACGTGTAGGAAATAATGTTTTTTTTATTATGAGGCTGTTTCATTTTAAATGATAATATTGTGTTTATCTTTATTTTGCAAATAGACGGGTTTAGAAGAATTATTCGTTGTTCCTAGAGGCATGGAGGAAATTGTTAACCATATCAAGATTCGGTACAATAATAAACCCATGTTTATTACTGAAAATGGTAATGAATGTGTTTTTCAGATTGAAAAAATTATAAATGTGTAATTACTCGTGTCCATAAATTTGTATTTTTTTTCAGGGTATTCTTCACCGGATGTATACGAGGAACGAGTTGATAAGATTTTGAATGATGTGAAACGAATTGAATTCCACTCAAAATACCTTGCTTTTTTAGCCAAATCATTAAGGTTTCCTCTATAATAACTTTTCGGTACTTTGACTTTGTATATTCTGAAATCTGCCCATTTGACTTCAAAATTCCAAATCTTCCATCATGAATTATGAAGGTACAAATGTTACTTTTGAATGACAGAAACGGAGCTGATGTACGTGGATATTTTGTGTGGTCATTGATGGACGGATATGAATGGTTACAAGGTTACGATGTGAGATTTGGGTTATATTATGTTGATCGTGAAACACTAATAAGAAGCCCAAAACTTTCTGCAAAATGGTATAAAGAGTTTTTGATGAACAAGAGTGATCTTATTGATATGAAAGCATCAGGAGGAAGAAGATCTTTCCAAAACATGTTATGATGCTGAGAAATGAATAAGCATAAAAATATTTGATGCAAGAAAATCATGTGCTTTATAAAATATGTATTATTATGGGAAATGTTATTAATAATAAAAATGTAACGAAATAAAACCAGCAAGCGCATCTAGTGTAGTGGTATCATAGTACCCTCCCACGGTACTGACCGGGGTTCGATTCCCCGGATGCGCATTTTTTTTTTACAATTTTTATTAATGAATATGGTTTTTTTTGTCTCTTTAATCTCCTTAGCAAAATGTTGCACTTTATATAAAAGTAACAAAAACTCAGATAATTTATTTTCGTTGGTAACTAATAACTACAATTCCTATTAGATAAACCGATTATACATTATTGGTGATCTATTAAGATATCTATAAAATCGAAAGCTTTTGTTTATTTAGATATCAAATGTTAATCTTTATACAAAACCCAGATGATTATTTTTTTTTTCTTTTTTCATTCAAAACTAATAACTACAATTCCAATTTTATAAATTATTTGTTAGCTCAGCAAGTAACAAAGATCTTATATTGTTGATAATCCATTAAGATATCTATAAAATCGAAAGCTTTTGTTTATGTTAGATATGACAACACTATTTGTTGTATGAAAAGCATCATGAATCATATATAAATCCAGCAACAAAATAACTGAAAATATGCAAAAGTAACTAATTTATTGTAGTGAAGGGATAAAGATAAACCATGGGATATACATCATAAATATATTTTAAAAAAAAATCCATGAAATCAAAGAATATGGTACAATAATGCAAATAAAAGGAACAAAAAAAAAATCACAAATTTCCCAAATAAAAATGTGAAAGCAATTCTCTAAAGTCGATAAGTTGCTGATTTGGCAGGAAGAATGTCCATCAAAGAGAAATCGTGATGAGGGGGCCCTACATTGATCAATCAAGAAACCCATTAAAACTACAACATTCATATCTTTAACAAAAGTACAATGCTATTTCTCACCCTATAAAAAAAAAAAAAAACCAAAATTACCTTCTTGTCCTCCAAGAACATAAAACGGTATATTGGCAATCATCTTTGTTCTCCCTTCACTCCAATTGATCATTCCCGGCTTCTGTATGGACCCACTTGATGGTCTTGTGGGCCCAAGCACAGACAGACAGATCGCGGGTTCATTCATTAACCCTAAATAATCACGCGCTCGCTTCCACACTCTCGCATCCGATATACGCGAATGAGCCACCTATAACATCCATATCAATTATCGGAACCGCTTTGTAAAATGACCAAACTACCCTTGCCCCCCGAAAAAAATGACTAAACCAACCTTGCCTAATGACACGCGTGCCCTCGGGAGTACTTCGCGATGGTGTGTTGCGATCTTTGCTATTGCGGTCACGACAAAACAAAGAAGCCTTGATTGCGATGATCTTCTGACTGTCGAGCTACTTGATCCAAGAACCGAATCTCCTACACCAAGACGGCTTAAAGAGTATATATATTTGAGAAGGGTATTTTGGGTATTTGAGAATTGTTGATGAAGAGTATTTGTGGCATACATACCTTGATGAAAGATTTTCATAAAGAAGTAATTCTAGGCTCTCGAAGAGCTCACGGGCTGCATCTTTATGAGATGCGCCACCCCCTCCATGCTCCCCAATGGCCCAACATAGTTGTAATGCCAACTCGGTCTGTTGTAGAAGGGTATTTTGGGTATTTAACATATAATGTAAATGACAAACATACATGCTATAGAAGGGTGTTTTGGGTATTGGACTTATAGAAGGGTATTTTGGGTATCTGACTTATAATATAAATAAATGGTAAAAATACATTGATAATACATAGTACAGAAGGGTATTTTGGGTATTTCACTTATAATCATACATATTATAGAATGGTATTTTGGGTTTCTTACATATAACTTAAAGGGTAAACATGCATACTATAGAAGGGTATTTTGGGTATTCATATAATTTAAAACACTGACCTTTTCAGGACTATCGTAAGCTTCTCCAAGCCTATCTACTATGGGCTTCTGCACAAGTACAAATGGTTGACATATATTTTTAACACTATATATATATATATATATATATATATATATATATATATATATATATATATATATATATATTCAATAAAAAAATACCAAACACCAAATTCTAAAAATATTATTGCAGAATAATACCTTGAGAATTGCAACGAATTCAGGGGATTGATGAAATGCAGCTAATATGAAATTCAAAAGCCTCTTTCGCACCTATATAATATTATACAACAAAAAAATTTTAAAAAAAATATATAACCAAAGAAAGAAATTACAAAAACATTATAAAACCAACCAGAATATTTACTTACCTCATAAGAGAAGATCTTTTCAGGAAACAGCTTAGAATTTCTATCAAGAAGCATGGGGATTAAAGCACATTTCAAAGCTGCATAACAAAATACAAAACAAGTCTTCATAATTTTATATCAAGCATTTTATAACTTTTCTTATATAAAAAAAAAAAAAAAAAGCAAAGAATGGCATACAAATATACAATCAAACATACACTGATTCACATCATGCAATGCTATTGAAAAATACACATCAAGAAACCAAGGTGCCATTTTTAATGCTTGTTTTAGTCTATCAGATGGACTAGAAATCGATGCCTGTAACGCTGATTCCATTCCAGGAGAAGTCCAATGCCGTTGCTGAAATATCATTTATTTAAAAAAAGAAAAAAAAATCATTTATTTACTTAAATCGCATTTATTACATCATCAATTAATATAAATAGAATGTAATGTTACCATACAGCAAGGCCATCATTTTCATCTTTAAGAAGCTCAAGAAAAAGTGGATCTGAAGTGATTGAATTATTGTCCTCAGATTCCGAATCTGCCCCTCCATCTCCTATGGTTGAACCAGTATATGCTTCATCCATTAGAGCTAATAACATCTGTATATAAATTGTAAAAAGTTTTATATTTAATCAAATAAACACATATTTTTTTTTTTAATATTTACCTCTGGAGCTGCACTCTTTTGGATTGAAGCTATACTGCTACCAATTAATGGTCCAGAAGTTTTTTCCACTTTTTCAAGTGCTACAATCAATACTGATTTAAAATTCAAAATAAGAAACAAAATTGTTAATTGTTTATAATTAATATGATCAAAGTTTAACTAGAAATAAAAAATGGATGTTTACCTGGTAGATCAACAAGTGAGATAAATAGAGGAAGAAAAGACCCTGGAGATATCAATCCAGGAAAAACTCTCAAGAATGGTTTTTCTAATCTGTGTGAACAAATGAAGACGAGTGTTATAGAATTATCAGATGAATTAAACTGCGGAAGAGAAGAAGAAAAGGACTTACTTTTCTCCATTCCATGCGATCATTTTAAGCAGCAATGGATAAAACTGAAAGTAGGTAGAGATAGAAGAAGAAAATGTGAAATACGTTCTATGTAATTGCAGAAGAATGAATAATCTAGTTGGAAGAATTAGTTTTTGAGATTTATAATGTACCTGAGGGAGTAAAGTAGGAAACGCGAGTAAGATTTTCTTGTTGTTTATGATTAGAAAGTCTAGAGTTGCTTCTGCAACTTCATGGTCTGCAAACTCACTGTAGTCGATGGCGATTTTAACTTAATTGTTGAATTATTTACAGCTTACTTTCGGAATCGAAATGGTGGTGTATCTTACCGGCTTAAGCATGAACGGAAGAAAGTACGGAGGCTAGGATCGGCGTCATGGAGAACAAATTCTCCGTAATCGATGAAAAATTGAAGAATAGCCTGAAAATTGAAAGGTGTTGGTGAATTGATTAGATGTGGAAGGAAAAAGGGGGAAGAGAAATTGAAAGATGATTTACCAATAGTAGTAGTCCGGAGGGGGATCGAGAGTGAGAAATAGAAGAAACAGAACGTTGAAAGATTTTATTGAGTTGGGGATAAACCCTAGCTATCAGATTCTCGGAATTTTCACTTTTACACAACTGGGTCAGCTTCCTTACCTACAATAAGTATATTATCGAATTGGAAAGCAGTTTAATTGTTTATGGTGATGAAGAAAACAATAACTTTGGAAAAGATTCACAGACAAATGTATAAAGATTGAAAAGGGAGTTACAGAACGAAGAAGGGAAGGATATGAAGCGGGATCATTGGAGAAACTGGAGTCTCTGGCGTTCGACGATAATGTTCTTAGATGTATTTCCCAATCGATGTCTCCTTCCGCCATTTTCACGGAATTTGTTTTGTAAAGAACACAAAGAAATCTAATCCGAGAGAGCTCAATAAATGGGGTTTCTTGAATTTCATTCACCGTAACTTAGATACATGCTCCAACTCACTCAGAACTCAGACCCATGCCTCTCCTTGCGCCATTTTCGATCAGCAGATTAGGTTTTTCCGTTTTACTTGATAGACTTCACGGGAGATATAAAGGAATTTTTAACCGTGTTTTGAAAAACTTATTCATGTATATTTTTAAATTTTAAACTTATTTATCAAAATAAGTTATTTAACAATTTTATATATATACATTTTTATAAAAGAAATCTCACTATTTATAAAAATAAATCGACTCTCAGTGAAAATGCATTGTTTGATGATCAATGGAATCAATAAGGGATGTAATTATCTTGCTATTTGGTTCCAGTTTTAACACTCCCTTTTGTGTCAATGTACATGTGTGGTTGCAAGTATTGTAACAATTGCCAAACACCCCTCTCAAACCTTAACAATATCTCCACTTTTTATTTTAAGGTTTCTTTTTGTTTTTGGATATTGATTTTGATTTCATTTTTCTTGGGTTTCTCAATTTACTAGTCCCTCTTCATTCTCTCTCACCACTACTCTGATCGGTGAACAAATATGATGAGAAAGCGTTAATGGTACCTTATGTTGACATTTTCACACCTATGCTCGAAATCAAGCTACTCTCTATTCCTGCTTGGTTTGAAGGCCTGTATATTCCCGCTTGTTCCTTTAAATGATGCTGCTTACCATATTCCTTCTTGGGGTCACTACATAATATAATATTGGGTTTGAGAAGAATGGATTCAAATTAAAAGGTTTGAAGCTTTTAGAGTAATTATTCTTGGATGCATTTTCTATATTGTGTGCCTTAGTTGAATTAGAAGTTTAAAGCACTACATCATGGGGCATTATACACTTTTGACTAACAATCTTAGACCTTTGAATTGACTCAACCACTCACATGTATCATTTGAACTATATGCTAAGCCCTAAACTTGAATTGTGATGTTTTTACAGCATACAAGAAGTCTTGGGAGGCTATGTAGTGTATTCCATTTTCTTCTTTGTTTTTAATATAAAGATTAGAGTAATCATATTAATTGTATTTACTCTATAAACCAATTTTTAATCTATTTTTTATTAATCCTCCAGGATTCTACTTAGGAAACTTGCATCAATAGAGCTAAGTCACACCCACCAAGAAAAACATGCTTTCTGGGTAAATATTTATACTCTGTGCAAAATGAATGTAAAAATTTCCATTTTTTTGATAAATTTGTTACAATATTGAGAAAACTAATCTTTATATCATGTAAGCTATCAGGAATTTCGTAAAAATGGAATACCAGAAAGTCCTAAAATGGTATGCACCATCTTTCTCTCTCTCTCCCCCCCCCCCCCCTCTTTATCTCTTTCTAAAAACCATCTTTCTCCATATATGATCACATTAGTTTGTCTAGCTAATATATGTTAAACTGTCACTTAATTGCAGTTTGTTTCTTTTTAAGAAAATAATGGTGGCAATGACATTATTGAGATTATAGGTTTATCTACTGCTATGTAATGCTTTTGTAGCATCTGAAGTTAGGGCATACCTTCAAATCCTTTGTACATTGGAGGTATGTTGACTACTTTTGAAAACTATAAAGAGGTAAATTAAGTTCACGAACTTTTCCTGATAATTTTGAATTTGTTGTTATTCTTTTAAATGAAAGTATATTGCTTTTTATTGTTATCAGAAGAAAAATAGGGTTTCTCTGTTGATGACATTTGCCCCTTTCAAAAGGGCATCCATTGCATCTTTGGTCGAGTGTATGATGTTGTTTCTCAGTGGTCTCAACATAGTACGTCACTTTTTTTTGCATATTTTTTGACTTCGACACATTGTTGGTTCTGATTTAAACTTTAAACATTACAATTTTTAATTTAAGTTGGTAGCTTATATGCAACATACATACCTCTTTCTACCATTAAAGGCACATAACTTTATATTTTACCCACATAGCAACACATTGTTGGTTTTGGTAGAAAATGTAAGTTGGTTGCCTATATGGGTAAAATATAAAGTTATGTGTCTTTAATGATAGAAAGAGGTGCGTATGTTGCTATATGGATATAAAATAAGTGAGAAAAAAAATTATAAGTATGCTAATAGGGTTCATCCATCCTAATTAGAGGAACACTGATTTAAAAAAATCCTTGTACTTTTCATCATTAAAAGACTTTATTACTGATTAGTTATGGGACTTGATGGAAATAATAGTTTCAAAGATGTCTTGATTTATATAAATTATCTATGTTTCTTGACTGTATGATTTTTTGATTTAGGAACATTGAGGTTTTTTTATATCGTTAACATTTTTCTTAATTGTGGATAAGTGGATTTTTAACCGAAGGGAACCAAGACCCACTCATTTTGATGATTCCAACATTTGTTTGATAGTTAAGATCTAGGTGAGGTACTTCCTTTTTCATATATTCACTTTTTCATCCTTTCTTTATGAAATATACTTAAGAACCCCTGTTTTGCATTCTTGCACCAACATTCACAAAGTTTCTTTAATATCCAAGCTCTCTAATTACAAATAAAGTTCTTTACTTAATATTTTATGGCACACAGCTTACAAGAAACAAAATACGGAAACACTTTGATCCAGTCTATGTATCTCACTTCAATAACAACCAATTTTTGGGCTGATTAAACCGATGATTTGACCAGTTGATTGGTTTTTGGTTCAACCGGCCGATCCGGTTTTCAAAACAGTGGTTATAATGATATGATAGGCTAATCACGTTAATTCTTAGGTTAGTTTACAAAATTTTATACCTTGAATGGTTTTTTAGCTTTATATGACACTTTGTTGTCCTGGTAGTTATTTGGATCATTTGAGAGAAAAAAATTAAGCTGATCTACTTGATAATTTAGTTTTTCAGGTTTTGTTGAAAGAAATATCATAATTAACCAAGTCTTGATGAAATTAATTCAATTTTATGTTACCTTTTGGGGATCGAGATTTATACTATATATAATCTAATATAATTTTTGTTTCAGTGAAGTTTCTATGTACACGTATTTTAATTTATTTTATGCTAAAATGGATTTTAAATGTAAAGTTAATTTATTGCAAGTTTGGTTTTGGATTTTTGACATATATATATATATATATATATATATATATATATATATATATATATATATATATATATATATATATATATATATATATATATATATATATATATATATATATATATATATATATATATAAAAGCAAACTAAAAAATCACAATATAAGATTTTATGTTGAATCATAAATAATTGAGTTGTTTTTTTTTTTTTGTTAACTTTATTTAAATAGAAAAACAAAATTCACATTTTTAGTCGTAAAACGCCAAGTGGGAAAAGTACATATTTTGTGTTATATAATTGCGTAATTAAAGAAAATAATACAAGGATTGTTTATATTAATAGGCATTTTGACATTATCTAAAAGTAATGCATCAACCTTTAACAAAATCAAAATTCATAAAAATTGGTTTCTTATTATCATATATTATAATTGTGAGACTCAGAATGTAATTAGATAAATAATATAACTTAAACAGTTTTGAATAAATAAAAGAAGCTCAAATAAAAAAAAGTTTATTATATTGTTATAACTAATATAATATAAAATAACTAATAACAATCTTATCTATTAAGAAAGCAAAAATAAATACTAAGGTTGGTTCAAGAAGGGATAATGTATAAAAAATATTAATTTTTTTCAAACTATTGCTTCAAATCCATGGTCTTCAAAAAATTAAATAGTTAAATACATTATTATTTTAATCTAACACGATAATTTTTTAACTCGGAACAATAATTATAAATATTTTCAATAGTAATTATAATTAACATTGTTTGTTTTTGGAATATAATAAATTTTCGATAACAAACAAATCACAAAAGAAAATCTACTATAATAAATAAAGGTTTTTTTGTCACATGTCCTCTTTTCATTCATTTGGACACATGTCATTTTCTAAAAATTTTAAATTTTTTATTTTCCACTTGTCATTTTATTGTATTTTTCATTTTATTAAATTAAAATTCCACATTTAATGTGTAAAATAATATATATGTAAAGTATTTATTAGAAAAAGTTTATATATGTAATGTAATCAATACATTAAAGTCTCATTAATTTTAATAATTAAAATTTTTCTTATTTTTTTTTTTATAAATTCAAACTTTTCAAATTATTAAAATTTTATATTTATTTTTTTAATTAAACTCATGTAATACATGAGTCTCACACCTAATTATGTATAGAAAGAAAACTATTCGTAGATAATGTTTCATACTATTATCATCATATGTCATGTTGATTAGAATATAACATGTTGTGAATTGAACAAATTGTCATCGACGATCCTACTTTAATCGTTAACCCAAAAAAATAATGTACTTATATTTTTAACAAAAAACAACAACATATTTTTATTTTTAGTCTAAAACTGCAACATATTTTTATTTTTAGTTCAAACAAATAACAAACTTTTATTTTAACCTAATGAGTAACTTATTTTTATTTTTAACCCCAAAATAACAAACTTTTATTTTAACCTAAAGAGTAACTTATTTTTATTTTTAAACCAAAAATAAGGAAAGGCTACGAGAGGCTAAGTCTAGCTGATATGTTACAATGAATTAGAAATAATATATTTTATAACACAATAAATCTAGTATATGAAAACACTTATCTAACATACACAAAATAGAAATAATATATTTTGGACACAATGAATCCAACATATGAAACACGTATCTAGAATACACATAAGCCACGAATAGATTAAAGAATACATTGTTAGTCGAAAATAAAACAAATTGTTGAATTGGAATTAATGTTGAATGATACTTGCCGATACATTTTCTTACTTTTAATATGATATGTTCCTTAAAGCAAACTAATCGATTAATTGAAACTAATCGTTGTTCGCCGAAAAAACTAATTACCGAAATAAACTATTCACATATGTCGCTTAGCACAGGTAAACGACTATATGAGAAATTAAATTACCTCATACATTTTATACCTACGATTATTCCTACCCATTAAAATTATGACAAATCACCATTCAATTTAATTTTATTTAATATATTACTAATATAGCCTTAATGAGTTAGTTAAAAAAATATCGAATGATGATACTTATCATA